AGAAGTCTGGGGAAACACTATCCTTACCACAATAAGGATGGGCATCTGACTCAAGGGTGCAGAGCCCTAAAGGCACATCTGGAAAACCTGGTAAGACAAGGTCATTTAAGGGACCTAGTAGATGAGGCCAGGACAAGGAAAAAATAAGCAAGACTGCCTCAGGCACCAGCAGCACCACCTCCACCAGCACCACAACCGCAAGCAGGCAGACCTCGAGTGATCAATGTGATTCACTCGAAGGTCAATGAGAATGAGATGCGTGGGGAAACTCAGAAGGTAAAACACTTACAACATGTGTATCAGGTCCGGCAAAAAAGACCAATGGCAGACGAGTGCCAGGGACCAATGGTGTCCTTCACTGAAGACGATCTAGATATGGTGTAACATCCACACAATGATGCCCTGGTAATATCCCTCAAGGTTAGAGAGTGCCAGGTAAAGCGCATTCTAATTGACTAGGGCAGCTCTTATGACATCATGTATGTCAGATGTTACAAGGAGCTTGGCCTTCACCAAGATGATCTGGAGCAATCTAGTGGTCCAATGGTTGGGTTCAAAGGAACACCGACGTGGCCCCTGGGAGCAATAAGTTTGGAGGTACAGGCTGGCACCAAGAAGGTAAACACAGAGTTCATAATAATTGACACCCCCTCCCCTTACAATGTTATCCTAGGAAAGCCATGGCTGCTTCAATGGGAGTTGTTCCCTCAATAGTGCACCAGCTGTTGTGGTTCCCAATAGAGCATGGAATTGAGGAGGTCAGAGGGGATCAGGTGAAGGCAAAGAATTGCTCCATGGCAGCAATGAAATCCACCTGCAGCATACGAGAAGCAAAATCAGCAGAAATTGAGGACGAGGACATGGAGGTCCTTGAGGACGTCGGCAAAGAACCAGCTGAGAAGAGTGAGGAGGCCCTGAAGAAGATCATAGTCCAGCAAGGGGACGTAGAACATTTCTTCCTACTCGGCTCAGGATTGGCCGAAAAGGAGGAAAGAGAGTTAGAAGCCTTCTTACGAGCAAACATTGAGGTGTTTGTCTGGACACCATACGAGATGTCTGGTATTGACCCTGAGGTCACTTGCCATAGACTAAATGTAGAAAGGTTGGCTAAACCAGTCATTCAACGGGCTAGAAGGCCGACCTTAATGCATGTTGAGGCAGTAGAAGAAGAAGTGGATAAACTGCTAGAAACCTGAGCCATTCGAGAGGTAAACTACCCAACATGGTTATCAAACACAGTTGTTGTGAAGAAAAAGAATAGGAAGTGGAGGGTCTACGTGGACTTCACCAGCCTGAATAAGGCTTATCCCAAAGACAGTTTCCCACTCTGCATTCATCACCCCAAAAGGGCTGTATTGCTACAGAGTGATGCCTTTCAGGTTGAAAAATGCAGGAGCAACTTACCAGAGATTAGTGACTAAGATGTTCAGACATCTAATAGGCAAAACAGTGGAGGTATACATTAATGACATGGTCGTGAAGACCAAGGAACCTGAGGATCATCTGGCCGACCTGAAAGCAGTCTTCGATATCCTGAGGACATTTCGGCTCCGACTCAATATGTCAAAATGCGCATTTGGAGTTGGGTTAGGAAAGTTCGTAGGATACTTGGTTACCAGAAAGGGCATTGAGGCGAGCCCAGATCAGATCAAGGCCATCTTGGACTTAAAGAGCCCAACATTGGCAAAACAAGTGCAGATGTTGACTGGAAGGGCTGCAGCCCTAAATAGATTCATAAGCAGAAGTTCTGACAAATGCAAACCTTTCTTTAGTTTAGTGAAGAAAGCCACGGACTTCTTATAGACAGAAGAGTGTGAAGTCGTCTTGGCCAATTTGAAAAAATACTTGACCGCTGCTCCAGTTCTCTCAAATCCAGTATCTAGAGAGGAGCTGTTCTTATACTTGGCAGTTTCAGAACATGCAGTGAGTGCAGTGGTAATCAAAGAAGAAAAATGAGGACAAATGACAGTTTACTATATGAGTAAAACCCTAGCAGATGTAGAGACTAGATACTTACTCTTGGAGAAACTGACACTGGCCTTGGTAATGGCTTCCAAGAAGCTGAATCATTACTTTCAAGCCCACATGATTGTGGTATTAACTGAGCATCCTTGAAGTCCTTATTGCAGCAATGAGATCTGACAGGCAGGATAGCCAAATGGGTAGTGGTGTTGGGCCAATACGACTTGGAATTCAGACCCAGAACAACAATCAAAGGTTAGATTCTGGCCGACTTCGTGGCCGAGTTCACATCCAGCACCATCCCACATCAGGCTCTGTTGAGTCACGGTTTAGGATGGCCAGGTGAACAAGAAGAAACCCAGTTGGAGATAGCAGAACAGAAGAACGAAGAGAAACTCAGGCCTTGCGATATTTACATCGGCAACTCCTTTCGCCTGTTTGTTGATGGGAGTTCAAATCATCAAAGAGCGGGGGCATGAATAGTGCTAGTATCACCAGATGGGCGGATACTGGAACAATCTATTCGTTTGGGGTTTAAAGCCTCAAACAATGAAACAGAATATGAAGCACTGATTGCAGAATTGAAGTTGGCAGCAACAATGGAAACCGACGAGGTGGTGGTCTTCAGTGACTCCTAACTTATCGTCAACCAGGCAACAGGCGAATATGCAGCCCGAGATGAAAGAATGATGGCCTATGTAAAAGAGGTCGTCAGACTGGTAGCCTTATTCCAGGATTGCCGACTACAACAAGTTAGCCGAGATGACAACAGCCATGCTGATGCCTTGGCAAACCTGGCCAGTGCAATGAAATCAAGAGAGACAAAGACAATAATGGTTGACTATTTGTTTAGCCCAAGCATAGAACCACTGAACACAGAGTATGAAGCAATGTGTGTGGAGATGGGACCAAGTTGGATGGATACGATAGTAGTGTTCCTTAGATATGGGAAGTTGCTAGGTGATCACAATGAAGCACACAAAACCAGACTGAAGTCAGCAAGGTTCAGTTTGACAACAGAAGGACATCTCTACAGAAGGTCTTTTACTGGTCCCCTTTTGAAATGTGTGCATCCTTCACAAGTTGAAGACTTCTTGTATGAAATACACGAATGAGTATGTGGAAGCCACGCAGGGGGCAGGCCACTTGCTCATAGGGCCATTACTCAGGGGTACTGGTGGCCTTATATGTAGAAAGATGCTGAAGCTTATGTTAGAAAGTGTGAGAAGTGTTAGAGGTTTGCATTTTTAATACATCAACCAGCAGTAAATTTAAATCCAGTGTCCAGCCCTTGGCCATTTGCCTAGTGGGGCATGGATCTTGTTGGACAACTACCTTAAGCGATTGGACAAAGGAAGTTCCTGCTGGTGGCAACAGATTACTTCACCAAGTGGGTAGAAACTGAACCCCTTACAAAGATTCGGGACATTGATGTAAAGAATTTCATATGGAAGAACATCATCACCAGGTTTAGAATCCCAAGGGCAATAATAACAGACAATGGTACGCAGTTTGACAGCAAGCTAATCAAGAGCTTTTGTGCAAAGTACAAAATCAAGAACTACTACTCCACTCAAAGCTTCCCTTAAAGCAATGGTCAAGTAGAAGCATCCAACAAAACTATCTTGGATGGGATTAAGAAGAGACTGGAAGCAGCAAAGGGGAAGTGGGTGGAAGAGTTGCCCAATGTACTTTGGGCATATTAGATTACGCCGAGAAGATCAACTGGGGAATCCCCATTTGCCATGACTTATGGCACAGAGGCAGTAATCTCATTAGAAGTCGGCATCCTAGGGATCAGAACCCAGGGAGTAGAGAATTGGACTAATGAGGCATTTTTGGCCCGAGATCTGGACCTATGGGAAGAAAGAAAGGAGAAAGCAGTAGAAGGTCAACCCACGAGAGTTTCAAGTTTGGGACCTCGTCCTAAGAAAGGTCGTCGGCAACAAGAAGGATCCCAGAAAGGGAAAGCTTGGCCCAAATTGGAAGGGACCTTATAGAATCATCTCGGTCGCAGGTAATGGGGCATACAGGCTTGAAGACAGCGAAGGCAAAGAGTTGCCAAGACCCTGGAATACTCAACTTGAAATTTTTTTATCATTAGATTTTTAGTTTTTTAATTAAAGTTTTTTGTTATTAGCAAAAGTAATAATGAAATTTTAGCTCAATTTTTAATTTCAAACTTGTGTAATACGACTAACCAGTCCCTTGGCGATGTTTCTAAGTGAAACATGACGAATAACTTAGACTTATTATATGGCAGAGTTGAACTATACTTGCATATAATAGAGTTGAACTAAGTTGGCGATGTTTCTAAGTGAAACATGACGAGTAACTTAAACTTATTATATGGCAGAATTGAATTATACTTGCATATAATAGAGTTGAACTAAGTTGGCAATGTTTTTAAGTGAAACAGGACGAGTAACTTAAACTTATTATATGACAGAGTTGAATTATACTTGTATATAATAGAATTGAACTAAGTTAGCGATATTTCTAAGTGAAACATGATGAGTAACTTAGACTCATTATATGACAAAGTTGAAGTATACTTGCATATAATGGAGTTGAACTAAGTTGAATTAACCTGGACTTGCCATATCGGCAGAGTCAAACTCAGATTGGAACTAAATGCATTTGAGTAAGATTAATAAAGGAACCAAGGTTGAGAACCCCGACTAGTCTCTGTTTAAACCTAACTTCGGCAACAAGGTCATAGCCACAAGTTTAATGAGAACCTAAGTGAAACTTAAGTTCACATTAGGGGGTAGAGAATTGGAGAATGATGAGTAAAGTTCAAAGTGCTTAGGGACTTGTTGAAATTTTATAGAAAAATTTACAAGCTAGAGTTGGCTTAGTACTTGTTGAAATTTTTAGAAAAATTTACAAGTTAAAGTCAAACCGAGTAAATTTGAAAGAAGTTACATACGTACTTGCCGAGATGACCAAGGTTGTCCAGCTCTGGGTGCATAGAAGACACAAGTCTTGATAAGTGAGGGTGAAGTAGCAAGCTTAAACCAACACTTGTGAAAATATTTTTACAATGTTTTCAAGTGTTAAGCCATGGCCGAGATAAACAATTATGAAGTTATGTCCGAGGTATTATACTCTGACGAGGTCATAATGATAAAGGTATCTTTTGAAGACATGCAAAATATTCTAAGTATAGAAGCAGTAAAGCATACAAGCACAAATAAAGACTTGCATTCAGAAAAGAAAATTGATCAGATACAAAGAAGGTGCATCGGCCCGCAGAAGGATTACTTGTGCATTTACAAAAAATGAGGGGCACATCGACCAAACAAAAGCAAACATTGTTCATAGAGCAAAAAGTAGAAGGCACAGAAATAAAAGCTCTTAGTTAAGACTACTCGGCGTCGGTGGCAGGATATGTCCTAGAAGACAACTATGACATCTTCTCGGCAGCCTTCTCAGCCTCGAGCTTGGCGTCGATTTCTTGCAAAGTTTGATCGAGGCCCTTCTCGGCGATAGGCACCTCGGATATAGTCTTCTTGGGGGAGGCACCTTTTAAGACCTCGTCCTGCTCATCTTGAGTCAAGTCCAGGACTTGCTCATACAAAGTTGGGGACTTGGCCCCAGCAGGAACTTCAGCATCAACTACCACCTCGATCTCTTCGTTTTCGTCTTCCTCTCCATCTTCTTCTTCTTCTCCTTCTTCCCCCCCAGCCTTAGCCTTAGATTGGCTTGAAGTATGAGGAAATGGCAGCGCAAGCCAGCCTTCATCTTTGAGAGGAGAGTCCTCAGGGACAGCCAATTCCTTCAGAGCAGCCAATCAACCAAGAGTGTAACTCTTGTTGCATGCCTGTCTGACTTGTTTCTTGTACTCCTCGCGGACGTCGACTGCCCCCCTCGGCATAGGCCTTCTCGTCCGCCGCTTTGATCTTAGCATCTTTTGTGGCCAAGGCACCTCGGAGCTCTGCTTGGGCTTTGGCAATTTTTGCTTCGGCCTCTTTTTTCTCGGCTTTAAGAACCTCAGCAATAGCCTCTGCAGCGCCTGCCTTTTCCTCGGCCTCGTCTTGAGCTTGTTTGGCTACCTTGGTCTGATTTATCAACATTCTCATCTTGACCTCGGCGTTGTTTAAAGATTTAAGCAAGCCAACAGCTTCCTTCGTCTTGTGGACCAACTCCTTCTTCATGTCCTCGGCCTGCATTGCAAAGGAGTAGGCGTGCTGGATCGCCTAGAAAAAACAGAATGAACAAAGTTAGTAAACTTAAGTTTAAAAACAAAGAATGGAGAGTACCAAGTGTTAGGGATTTACCAGTACAGAGTGTTACACTATCAAAGCGCAATTTTCATATTCGCTGAACTCGGTCATACGGTTGAGGTCGTTGGGAAGGAGCAACGCAGTGGAGAGGGCAACGCCGACCTCAATATCAGAAGCGCTATCGCCGGTTCTGACTAGCTTGTCTTCAATCATGATAGAGGGGGCCCAGGGGTCATCAGATTTAAGAGAACTCGAAATGGCTGCACAGTCCGACCTCGGCTTCTTTGACTTAGTAAATTAAGAGAGGTCAGCCTCGGCAGGCCTCTTCTCGGCAACGGAGGTGCTTTTCTCAACCTCGGCCAGCTTGGATCTAGGCAAAGTGTCCTCAAAGTCGATCTGAGTCACTATTGCCTTGGCTTTGGCCTTCTTCACCATTTTTGGCTTGGCCTTTGGTTGGGATTGCGATGGTGAAGATTGGACTGTGACAACATCGGAGAGGTCGGCTACAAGGTCTTCAGCAATGGCCTTTTTGCACCACATCTCGTCGTCGGCGACAGCGACAGTGACTCTAGTGCCGAAGTGGATCGCTGGAAGTGCAGTCAGTGGGTTGGTTGGATCGTAAGCCGACGCCTCAGTACTTCGGCATTTTCTGCTACAAGTTCTGCTTGCGAAGGCGAGCAGTAGAGCTCGACATCGGCGTTGACGCTGGACTGGAGGAATTAGTTGTAGAGCAGATGTCGATGGCTGCTTTGCTAGGTCAGAGGTTGAGGCCTGATCAGGACTTGGTGATGAAGTAGTTGGGGGTGTTGTCACAGAAGGTGGAGACTTGTTCTTCTTGGAGACGTCGGGCAATGTGGATTTATAGGTTGAGATGTAGTTGAGCAGCAAAGGGGTCTTGCACTGATTGACAGGCAAGCCCAGCAGCTTCTTGAAGTCTTTGTTGGGATAGAAGGTTTTGCAGAAGTCCTTTGGATGCTGAGGAAGAGCTGCAAAGTAAAAAACAAACATTAGAACATATAAAAAGGAACAAAGTAATAAAGACTTGAAAGTGAGTAAAGTGACACTTGGTTCTTACCATTACCCTCTTTAAAGACTGATCGGCTCAAGGGATAGAGGTGGAGGTCATCATCTGGTGAGAACTCTCAGTTGTCCGAGACGATGAAATAATCATCTCCACCACCTTTGCTCAGTCTACTAGGTTGGTGATGAATTTGTATTCTGTGGATCTCGGCTTAAGGTAATAGATGTAGCCTTTTTCTGATTTTAGACCACATATGGTGTAACAGTATTGGATATCGGCTAGGGTTATCCTAGTGTTTTCTCGGCTAGCTAAAACAATGATACCATTAATAAATCTATAGGAGTTAATGGCCAATTACATCGGGTTGAGCTTATAGTAGTGAAGGACTTCTCGAAAAAGGATGTTTAGAGGGAACCTAAGCCCGCACTCTATAAAAGCAACTATTAGAAAGGGCATGAAGTTATCATTAGGCATGATGGAGTCCCCCTCCCCTGCCAACCTAAGATGGACATCGGCAGGGATGGAGAACTCTTGCCTAAAGTATTCAAGCTTTTCTAGAGTGTCCACCCTCCACCTAAACATATCTATGACGTTGGCTAGAAGGACAAGGAGTGAGAATTCAGAAGAAAGAGGTTTGTGTGGGTTTTAGGGACCTCGGCTAAACCCAAAACAGAAACTGGGATAAGGGTTTTTCAAGACCAAAGGAAGTTTGTTTCAGTTTTTCTAAGAACGTGATTTCTCTACCAAAACCCAAGCCTAAATCTATGTAGAAGTAGAGAAATAAAGACAAGAATCTGGAAAATGCAAACAAGGAAAACAGAAAAAGAGTATGATTTAGACTCAAGAAAGAAATAGGAAATCAAAAAACACTGTAACGAAGTGTGTGCAAAAGTGCAAAGCCAAAAACGGTGGCAAGCTAGCAAGTGTGTGAGCAAAATGTGTATAAAAATGCCCAGAAACGAATTGGACAGAAGCAAAATCATAAACAAATATGATGGAATTCAATACACAAGCAAATATTCAAGAACACGAACAGGTTCGCAATGGCAGCAATTAGATACAATGAAATTTTGAAATAAATTACAGACTAAAAAGGGAAAAGAACAGAGACTCACCAAAGAAGATGGCGCCGATATGAAACTCGCCAGAGTCAGACAGCGTGAGTAGTCAAAGCCAGATGATGAAATGCTCGCCGGAGGAGATGATCGGAGCAATTTGTAGAAGCTTCAAAGTACAAAAATGGTGGTTTTTTAGGAGAAAAGCTTTAGAGAGAGAAAAACTGGAAAATGGAGGAAAAATGAGGATGCAAAAGTGAAGAGACAAGGAGAGGATGTAATGTTTTGTTGAAACACGAAAAGGCGGCAATGCTTAAATGTATGCCTTAGACGACATGTCTGTCAGACGACACGCGCAGAAACGACGCGACTGGATGGCTCGTGTCAGGTACCGATCAATAAAGAGAAGACACGTGGCGAAAACAGTTGAGAAGCCGTGCGTGACAGCTCATGCGCATGTGGAACTCTTGGAGTTCTTGATTTAAATGAAGCAGAGACCTCGGTTAGGGGGACAATCTCAGTTAAAGAACTTAAAAAGTTTTTTGTTTTTCGTTTTTGGGCATTGGTAAAACAGATTGCAGTCTTGGTCATATGGAAGCCGACGAGTTATGACCTTGGTAATGAAGGATATGGTCAGTTTTAGCCGACGTGTTGTATGGACAAATGATGTAGGTTTCATCACCTCAGGATACCGAGGTAACAAAACCTAGGGGGCAGTTGTGGGGACATATTTTTGTGAATAGCAACACGTAGCCAAGGTGGCACCGAAGTGCCAGCCGAGATGCCATGTGTCCTGGTCATGGCACCGAGGTAATCTCGGCTAGACCGAGGTTATCTGCGGAGATACTGAAATTCGAGATGAACGGATAAGCTATAAGAGTCCTAGAGTAGGGAAGGACCTCAGCTTGGATAATAATAAAGGTCCTAGGAAGTTTATCTTTATCTATTGGAGAGTCTAGGACGAGCATTGAGCTAGAGTCCGAGAGAAGCTAGGCTTCTATAAAGATCAGGTTAGTGTTGGCTATAACAGTAAGGCACCCTCGTGGGTCTAAGGTACGCTTTTTATTTCCTAACTAGTGAGTTAAGCACTGTTTGCTATTTTTGAGAGATAATTGAGTACTGACTTGATCGTCGGAGTGCCCCCGGGTAGATGAACTACCGCCGGAGTCTTATCTTTCTGTGACAAGTTGTTCGGGCGCCATCTATTCTGCCGGTGTTCTCCAGCTAAGTACCTGTTTGACAGTGTGGTCAGAAATCAACACACACACTAATATAAATGCATCAAGGATTAAAGGCAAAGTGTTGGAGGTTCATGTAATACCTATTATAGAAAAAATAGCTATCAATGATTTTGAAAGAATATTTACTACAATAGTGATATCATTTTATGTATTATTGATTAATAAAAAATTATAAATAAATTAAGTGGACAAATCTTATCTTTCAATGCAACAAAGTTATGATCTTTACCATTAAATAAGATTTAGTGTTATCATTACATTTAATATTTACTTTGAATCTAATGCCTCCTTGTATTGCATTAATATAATAAACAGCGGTGCTACATGCACCAATTAATAGACACACTAGTGTACCAACTAGTGTTATATCATTATTATTGACCTCACCTATTACACAAATTACAAATATTAAAACTTCTAAAATTATATCACATCATCTATTAGTATACTAGTTAATATATTAATTGGTACATATAACATTATTTTATAATAAAACTACTTTATGACTTTTCTCACCAAAAAAAAAATTGAGTTCCAAACCTCATGAAAATATTAATGTCAATACCAATTATTTGGTATTAATGTTAAATTATTCACAATAACGCTAAGTACACAGAATTAAAACACAAAAAGAACATACAAAAAAATATTTAAAATATATTATGATTAAGATATTATTTCAATTGTGACTCGCGCCACATTCAAGATAAAGAAAATTGTTTGAGACCACTAAAACAATGAGCTCTAATAGCTCTAAGAACACTGTGCCCCTAATTGATTTGATGTTTTGCTCTTTGTTTTTTTTTTTTTTTTTTAAAATTTTCTGGACTGCCAACTCATTAGAGCTGGCTTAGTGGTCCATTTTTAGTGGGATCTATCCCCACTGCAAGATAAATATTACATCAAAGTTTGTCTGGCTTGAATCTTAATGAAGCTTGTCTGGCTTGTTAGGCTGTTTGGTTGTGTTTTCTATTTCCTCTTTTTTGCTTTTCTCTTTTATTTTTAATGTTTTTTAAAACAAAAATAATAAAAAGTTTAAAAATACTCATTGTTTCATTTTATGTGAAAGCAATTAAAAAAAAAATTCAAAAACAAGTTTTTGATGTTTCCGAGAAAGTAGGTTGTTTATAGAAAATTTTCTAGAAAACAGTTTTATAAAATAAAACAAGTTTGTTTTCTGAAAAGAAAAAACAACCACGGAGGCTGATATGAGAAATACTACTAGCTCTATATAACTTAACAACTTATTAGTTGATGTAAAAATGCATGGCAAGAAGAAGAGGAAGATGATTGAACATGCACAAATGCATGCATATATATACTATTATTATATGTGAAAGATTGGATTTGGTGCAACCTACCCTCTATAACAATATTTTTTTCGGAAATGAGCCGTAGCTCGAATCCAATGGCTCGAATTGGCTCGAAAGAGAGAGAGAAGAGAGGAGGAAGAAGCAGAGGAGAAAGAGGGAGAGAAGAGAGGAAGAAGAGAGGAGAAATATTTTTTCATAATTTTTATACTTTTTAGATACATCTAAGTAAGGTGCATTTAAAAAAGTAAAAAAATATTTAAAATTTTAAAAATATTCACTAAAAACCAAAAAACACGAAAATCAAAAAATCAAAAAATTCAATTTTTAAAAAAATTGAATTCAGAAAATTGAAACCAAACATACTGATTTATTTCTGTGAAATTATTATATTTTCATGCGAAAGTTTAAAATTTTAATTAGTGATATTTATAAAATTTATTATTTATTTGTAATTATTTTTTTAACATCTTTTAAATTGTAATTTTTCCTTATAATTAACTGGGTTTCTTAAGTTGGCTAATCATACACCCTCTAAACTGAGACATTAGGATAATAAATGAACTGCACGGAACTACTGTACATTAAGTTGTTTTAAAATGAGTTTCAAAAGGTATTCAATTTTGACCTGTTCACTTAAGGGTTGTTTAGTGCAGCTTGTTTGACTTGCTTATAACTTTTATTTTGGGAGTATGTACGAGACTATTCAGCATAGTTTCTACTTTATAAAGTTGATTTTGAATGGAGAATTTAGTCAAAATTCTCTCATAAATTTAATGCATTAATAACAAGTATAAAAAGTTTTATTTGTAAAGTCTAATACACACCATTATTATCAAAATATCCTTAGTGAATAATTTATTATTTTAAACTTTAAAATAATATAACTTTTAATTTAGATGTCAATTTTTAATAAAATTTGTATTTTTAGGATCACCTTAACAAGATCTATCAAATAAGATCTATGTTGACCATGAATTTTTTTTGAAAAAATTACCTTCAAAATTGACGTAAACAATAACATGTTATTTTGTTTGACAATAATATATTACTCTTTTTTATAATAAAATATTATTTTAGTTGACAGTAATATTTTACTGTCTGTTTTAAATAGGGTATCAACAATCAAAATAGAGCACCACAGTAAAGAAGGGAAGATCAAACCGACGCTAGCAAACAAAAAATTAAGAGCGAGGACCCACTGTCTTTGGCGGATCTTGATTATTCTCAATTAGGGGTCAAAGTCCAGTTTGAGGACATAATCACAAAACCCTAAGTTTACAAGGGCCCATTAAGAAAGAACCTATTCATGATAACTTGTGAGGGGTTGGGACACCCTTCCTTCCTATGGCTGTTCATGAAGAATACTTATTATTTCATTTAATTGACTTAGGTGTGCTTTTTGTTAGGGAAAATTAGGGGTGAGCAGCGGATATACCGATCCGCCAAAACCGACCGAACCGAACCGATCCGCCGTAATGTGGACGGATGCGTGATGACGAGCGGACGGTTGCAGATTGATTTTCTCCAATCCGCCAATTTGGCGGACGGATGGCGGATTTGAGATTTTTTGGCCGCAACCGAACCGCCAAACCGCCAAACCGCCAAATCGCGAGCACCCCTAGTACTTTATAAGACTTTGTATTTTCAATTTGTTTAAATATTATGTTTGTGTTTTCAATTAAAAAAGAATTTAAATATTCTGTTGAAAAAAAATTTTCAACTTGAATATATTTTTTGAATTGAAAACAATAAACGCATTATTCATCTATATTTTTTAGTTTTTAAATCTAACTCTAAAAATAATAAATAGAAAATATGATATATGCTGGTTGGTTTTTGTTTTCAAAAACTTATGTAGATGTAACAATACAGAGACATTCAATCTCTACTACTGCTCTGTTCATGGTTTTGATGGTTTGAATTGTTATTATATTTTAAGAATCACAGATTGTAATACTTTATGGGGATGAATCATACTGTGATTGTAATATGTGGATGAGGCATGCAGTGATCATGATATTCTAAAGTTTCAAACTTTTTTTCTTTGGATAAGGCATACAGTGATTGTAATATTTTTTTTAAGTCATTGACTGTAATACTTTCTTTCTTTCTTTTTTTTCTTTTTTTTGAGGAAGTGCACAAGTTGAATTATGTTGAAAATTTATAAAATTTTAAACCGCCAAACCGATTCGCATCCATCCGCCAAACCGCCAATCCGCTCAATCCACATCCGCCGGATTGGCGGACGGATGCGGATTGATTTTCTTCAATCCGCCAATCTGGCGGACGGATGGCGGATTGGAGGTTCCGTGGCCGCAACCGACCCGCGCCCACCCCTATTCTCAATGGCTTTGTTGCTGAGGACAACCGAGAATAATGAACAGAAAAGGTAATTTCCACTGGATTACGCAATCAAGGCAACATAAATACCCATTATTCACTATTTATTTTCCTCTTATTTCTCAGTAACCAAACAAATATTCTATTTGGTTGATGAGAAAAATGAGCAAAAGAAAATGATTGTTAAAAAATCGAAGTGCAACAAATTCTAATTTTTAGTTCAAATATAAAATTAGCTCATCCAAGAAATCACGCAAAGTTCAATGAAATCAATCTCGTTAAAAATGTCATTTGCTTATCTATGAAACTAGAATTCTCAGAAAACAAACAATAGTGGTAGCGATCAAACAACGTAATATATAAGCATAAAGGTACATTGTTACAAATATTTTATACATGAAAACTACAATGTCGAGCAATTGACATGCACCATGGCTTTTCTCTCTCTCTCTCTATCGCGCGCGCGCGCTTCAGTGGTAAACTTTCCAATGTGATCATTGTCTTCATTCTTTATTGAGATATATATATATATATATATATATATACAGGGTAAGATTATCTAGAAAAAAGAAGAAAAAATATAAATTTGTTCGTCATGAAGAACACGCTTCATATTTAGGGGGTTTATGAAGTAAAATATTTTGGGTTGTCCTTTACACACTAACATATTGGGCCTAGGTGGTTTTAACCAAATTTTCCATTTTCAAAAATTAGGTACAAGATGCTTTTGGTTTTTTCACTTTTAGATTATAAACTTTTTATTTACAATAAGTTGTACCAAAAATCACCTTAAAGGGCCAATCTTGAACCAACTTTTAACGATTCTAGCACAAGTTAAACTCGAGTAATTTCATTTTTTCATAGTAGACATATATTATAAGCCTGGTAGATTGTTTAAATTTAGTTAAAATTTTTAAATTGTGCTTATTTACCCTAACGAGTCCAACTTGAATGAACACAAGTCGAACTCGAGTAATTTAATTTATTTTGTTGTTCTAATTATTGCCTTCAGTAAAAATTAATTACTTCTTCATTACATATCTTTCTTTATTTGTTTCTTTTTCGTAATGAGAGTTTATCTGCATATGTAGTAAGTGTTGAACTTACAGGTATATTGTTAGAATTTCTTGAATGAGAGAATTGTAGGGGTTTTAATGTAATAATGAAATTACTGATTGATAGAGAATTGTTAAGAATCCAGTA